AGGCCCCCCCCCCCCCCCGTTTTCAATTCTGTCAAACCTACTTCAAGATGAGTCCTGCGAACGAATGCTCGCCGAAGCCCCAAGCCTGGGCTCAGGGGGGCATTGCCTGGCGAGTGCCTGGACCAGACCAGTGCAGATGGCCGCTTCCCCACAGGCGGGTGTGGCTGTGAATGCGGGTTGTTGTACTCGCGCGCTTGACCCGTCACGCCTGAAACCTTGAGAACCCCTCCCCAATCACACGATCCTCGTATAAACAGCCGTTGGGCAATGAAGATCTCGTCGGAGAATTTTCGACTCATGCTGCGACCTCCTGTTGCTCGGTTGGTCTGGTGCTGCACTGAAACCACAAACGGCCTTTCACCCACCGCAGCCCCAAGCGCTAGGCAGGGCATGCAAACGTGTAGGCAGGCAGGTGTTGAAGTTTCCTCCATGACACGCCCTTCCCAATAGGCTTTATGATGCCTGTACAAATAGAGCATAAAGGACCTTGACACATCTTCAGAACCTTCGTCACTCTAGTCCAACAGTTCAGGTAGCTGCTTTCACGATGTTTGGCTTGGACTTGCTCGGTCTAGGTTTGAGGATTAAGGCTGGAATCAACCAGAATCCGAAGCATGGACAGTCCTCCAGTCCTCCATAAGGCACGACGGTGCAAAAAGAGCAGCAACTTGGCCTGATGTTTGGATGGATCGAGGTGTTTTTTTTTCCGGGCAGTCGTGGCACAGATTTGGATTTCTTGGGGATCAGGTTGGCATCACCCTCCTTCGCAGCTAATGGAGTGGGATCAGTTTGGTGTGGAGCACCATCCCGTGCAGAATTGCTGCTGCTGAGCGGGAAGACGTCCCTACACCCTAGACTGACTCCCTAAGCCCCGCAAGTCCCGAAAGAATCGAGCCGCCAAGCGCCAGATCTGTAAGCCGCGAGGTTCGTCCACGTCCCGCAAATCGAGACGGCAGCCGCTGGATTTTTCAAGGGATCGGCATTGCGTCAGCAGAAGGCCCACTTTAGGGTTTATGGAGCAGAGGGTTTGGGGTTTGCGGATAGGGGGATTATGCTGGCTGGTATGCTCGTTTTTCTGCTTTCGGAGCCTTCTTGCAGAGTGCGCAGGACCAGGTGCCATTCTCGCTCTTCGAGTGGGCCGATCCTCAAAAACAGAAACAGGACCCTTCAGGATTTTCATGCTTCGGATTGGGGAAACAAGCCCTACATGCTTCTGAGCTCTGAGGCCACGAGATCCTGGGGTCTGTTGTGAAAGCAGTGGCGTGATACTCACTTGCCTCAAGTCTTCAACATGATGACTTGACAAGAAGTCCTAAGGCAGGAGCATGAGTTCTTAGTAACACACTTACTCTGCAGTTTTCTGTACGGCTCTCGCATGCTCCGGCAGGCTCTACCAGCACATACCTGCACAACTTCACTTCTTTTGTGCAGATCGGTGCTTGTTGTTCATCAGCTGTCAATTCCTAAAGTTCCAAAGCCGCACCTGCGACGAAGGCACTGTACATTTGCGGGATCAGATCGTGCGCTGGAGATACAGTATCAACCGCAAACAGGCGGCATCCAAAAGCACATTCCGCACTCACCATCCCGAAGTACATGAAGTAATATGGGGGTCTTAATATTTAATTACCTATATATACTATTTTAGGGGTTTCCTTATCAGAACTATGGTATAATATACTCCAAAAGCCTATTCTAACTATTAAGGCCCCTATACCCTAAACCCTGAAAGAAGCCGTTATAGAACCCTTTAAGGAACCCGAAAAAGGAACCCCCAAACCCTATTCTAACTATAAAGGCCCCTATACCCTAAACCCTTACAGTAGCCCCTATAGAACCCTATAATTATGGTACAGAAAAACCGCAAAACCCTATTCTATTATTCTACTTATCAAGGCCCCTATAGTATCCTCGGCCCCTGCAATCAGACTCTCGGCCCGCTTCGGTACAGCGTCGTTTTCTGGGCTCCTTGCAAAACCCTGAAACCTTCCGGAACGCTTCGAGTGTAAGGGTTTAGGGGTTTAGGGGTTTAGGGTTTAGGGGTTTAGGGTTTAGGGGTTTAGGGTTTAGGGTTTAGGGTTTAGGGTTTAGGGTTTAGGGGTTTAGGGACCTCTTCCCGAAACCAACCCGAAGTTCTCTGAGGCCTTACTTACAAAGCCAGAGCCCGAGGAGGCGCCGACAATCCTCCGACCGATCTGCACCCGGCGACCGGCCTCTTCAGCTGCAAGGACCGGGGGTTAAACCCTAAGCTCCTAAACCCTAAACCCCTAAACCCTAAACCCTAAACACTAAACCCTAAACCCTAAACCCTAAACCCTAAACCCTAAACCCTAAACCCTAAACCCTACTGCTTGGGGTTCAGGGTTTGGGGGACTTGGCGGTTTAGGGCTTTGAGTGTGGGTTGGGGTGTAAGGAGCCAAAATAGCCTTAGGGTTTGAGGTGTGGGGAAGTAATATAGAAGCCTACCTAGTTACCATGTTGTTCCTTAAGGGCTCCTTATATCTATACTATAAAGGAGCCCAACAGCCCTAGTCTAATTATTAAGGCCCCTACATAAGCTCTAAACCCTAAACCCTAAACCCCAACCCCCCCTAAACCCTAAACCCTTAACCCCAAACCCCCTAGACCCTAAACCCTAAACCCCAAACCCCCTAAACCCTAAACCCCAAACCCCCTAAACCCTAAACCCCAAACCGTGGTTCAGAGTTCAGGCCGCCGACCTGCGCCCTCAATGCAGCAGGCCAATAGCTTAGCTCCCCAACACCCAACCTTTAAACCTTTTGGTTTAGGGTTTAGGGTTTAGGGTTTGGGGTTTAGGGGTTTAGGGTTTAGGGTTTAGGGTTCTTATAACTTAGTAGGAACCTGAAAGTTTAACCTTATATTTTCTTGGCTTATTGGGGAAGTAAGATAAGTACAGTAGTTGCCTTTCCTCTGAAGTCTCCTTTTCGGTTATAGGAAGATGCGAAAATGAGGTCATTGGGGTATGTCGGATTCCATTTTGGAGTTCAAAGTAGTTTTGCAGTCAATAGTTTGCAGGTTGTCTTCGAGGTTTTAGGGTGCAGGGTTGGGGGACGGAGAAGGCAAAGCTCTGTCGGCACCTGCGCGGTCTGCCGGACAAGCTTCAGGTCTGAAGACTACAAGGACTTGGTTTGAGTGTTTGGCCTACATTGTATAATAGTATACAATAGTTCGTTTTCGTACATTGCGGTATATTGTAGTATATTACAGCATCACCGCACACTACCCAACACCCACTGCCTAGAGCCTAAACCCTAAACCCTAAACCCCAAACCCCGAACCCCAAACCCCTAAACCGTGCCTAAACCCCTAAACCTTAAAACCCCTTAACCCCTAAAACCCGAAACTCCTTAACCCCGAAACCCTAAACCCCAACACGCTAAACCCCGAAACCCTAAACCCCTTAACCTTTGAACCCTACACCCCAAGACGCTAAACCCCGAAACTCTCAACCCCTTAGCCCTGAAACCCTAAACCCCAAAACCCTAAACCCCGAAACCACTTAACCCCGAAACCCTAAACCCCAAAACGGTAAACCCCGAACCCTCAACCCCTAAACCCCTAAACCCCAAAAACCGTAAACCCCGAAACCCTAAACCCCTCAACCCCTGAACCCTAAACCCCAAAACGCTAAACCCCGAAACCCTAAACCCCTTGACCCCGGTACGCTAAACCCCAAGACGCTAAACCCCGAAACTCTCAACCCCTTAGCCCCGGAAGCCCTAAACCCCAAAACCCTAAACCCCGAAACCCCTTAAACACCGAAACCCTAAACACCAAAACGGTAAACCCCGAAACCCTAAACCCCTTAACCCCTGAACCCCTAAACCCAAAACCGTAAACCCCGAAGCCCTAAACCCCAAAACCCCTCAAACACCGAAACCCTAAACACCAAAACGCTAAACCCCGAAACCCTAAACCCCTCAACCCCTGAACCCCTAAACCCCAAAACGCTAAACCCCGAAACCCTAAACCCCTTAACCCCTGAACCCCTAAACCCAAAACCGTAAACCCCGAAACCCTAAACCCCTTAACCCCTGAACCCTAAACCCCAAAACGCTAAACCCCGAAACCCTAAACCCCTTAACCCCTTACTAAACCCTAAACCCCAGAACCCCTAAACCCAAAACCGTAAACCCTGAACCCTAAACCCCAAAACGCTAAACCCCGAAACCCTAAACCCCTTACCCCCTGAACTCTAAATTAAAACCCCTCAACCCTCAACCCTCAACCCTGAACCCTAAACCCCTTAACCCCGAAACCCTAAACCCCTTAACCCCTTAACCCCTAAACCCCAAACCGTAAACCCCGAAGAGCTAAACCCCGAAGCCCTCATAGCCCAAAGCTGCCAGGAGCACCGCCCCCCCGTCCACAGCCCGGAGCTCCTTCAAAGCTGCAGGATCCGAGGCTCCGAGTAGGGCTTTTGGTGCATCGAAGAAGGGAGGGGTTGAGGGTTTTAGTATTTTAGGAGTTTAGGATTTTAGGGGTTTAGGGTTTCGGGTTTAAGGGGTTTAGGGTTTGGGGTTTAGGAGTTTAGGATTTCAGGGGTTTAGTGTTTAGGGTTTGGGCCTTGGGGTTTAGGGGTTCAGTTTCAGGGTTTGGCACCTAGTGTTTGGGGTTTGGTACATCGAAGAAGGAAGGGCTGCACAGGAAAAGGAGGTTTCTGGTCTGCAGCATTTGGGAGTCTGGTGGTTGGTTTCGGTGTTCAGGGTTTGGGGCTCCGGGCAAGGGGCTTCTACCGGTGCGTCGTATGATTGCGAGATGGTTCCTTCGGAACTGTGGTGCAGGCTGCAATTCTGGTGGTTTCGGCATCCGCATGGTGCCGGATCTCACGATTGAACGGGTTGCAAACCGTGAAATTGAACCCTGAGGCCCTAAAGCCCGAAAGGCTACACCCAAGCGTAATGTCGCAAGGTGATAAATCCATCCCTGGCGGGCGTGGCCGTGCAAGGACAGCAAGGCGAATCTGAGGGGATGCGGTTTAGGGTTTGGGGCTTTGCTCCTAGCAGCGAATGGATCCCAATGGTAGGGCTTAAGATCATAGAATTTTGAGGTTTAGGGTTCAGTGGTTTGAGGGTTCAGGGGTTTAGAGTTCAGGTTTGGGTTTTCGTCGTTTCAAGAAGGAGTGAGTAAGACTGCGAGTGCTCACCCGAAACTTTTCTCGAAAGAACGTGAGTTACTTCACGGACTACGATCTTTCATGGCTGCTGCGACTAAGGGTTTAGGTACCTTGCAAGTTTGAGGGCTTTGCGTTTCGCTACTAAAGCCTACGCCCTAATTAAACTGCCCTTACATTGGCAGCTTTCTTCGTCGTGGTTTGTTCCTTGCGCTGCAGTTTCCAGTTGGTGCTGCCTCACATATTTTTCCAGCTACACCCTCGTTAGTATACGCCTCGTCGATAGCTCCAATAGGATCGAAAGGGACTTAGGGGTTTTATGCAGAGGTTTCGGGTTTTGGACGGACAAGGTTTGCAGTTCAGATTTTCAGCTTTCTATGCTACATACAAACCGATGAGGGAACCCTCAGAGAAAAGTATTACTATCCATCATCGGAGTTCTTTTTTCCCACGCCTTGAACTTGATCCGGATCGGTTTAGGTTTGAAGGTTCAGGGCTTAGGGTTTAAGTAGTATACAACCTCAGAGCCATGGAGCCTTGCACTCCCAAGAATTTCCCACGTCCCACCTCTCCCGACCCCCGGGAAGGATCTAAAAAATAGATCCCCTAATTAGGGACCCTAACTACCAAAGGGTACTTTATAGGAACCCCCCCTTTAGTAGGGGATCCATTTTTTAGATCCTTTTGGGGGGTTTGGGTCCCGACCTCCGGGAAGGCTCACTACGGACCCGGACGTCGCAGCAGAGGGCCTGAGATCTGCTGCGCCCGCAGCGCTTTTTCTTAGGATTTCGGGGCCTTCGGGAGTGCCGATCTCTAAGGGCTTGAGGAGGGACCCTTAATAGGGTTTAGGGTTTAGGGTTTAGGGGTTAGGGTTTAGGGTTTAGGGTTTAGGATTTAGGGTTTAGGGGTTTAATAGGGACCCTTGTAGGTTATTGGGGTTAATTTGGAGACTACCTGGGCTATATATAGGGTATATAAGGACGACACAACGGTTATTTAAGGTAATGGGAGTAAGGGTCCCTCCTAAAGTCCTTAGACGATCTGAACGGGTTCGCAGATAGTCCTAAACCCTTTCAAGGCCCTAAGCCCTGAACCCTTCAACTCTAAATCCGAAGCCTTAAACCCTGGATGCCTGAAGCAAAACCCGAAAAAATTGAACCTCAAACCCCAATCAGCCCCGAAAGCCCCGGTAGTTCGAGGTCTGAGGGCCCGAAAATTTCAGGGCTTGAAGTCGGCTTGGAATCCATCACCGTGGACTTCAGGTCGAGGCCCTGCAGTCTAAACCCCCAACATCCCGAGTGCACGCGGGCAGAAATCATGCCTGCTCTCCACGAAAGATGAGCGCTGGAAATCCGAGAGAAAGGGGGTTTGGAGCGGGTACAGACGCATGCCTTGCAGGGGACTTCTCTTACAGAGCCTTAACTCAGTTCCCAAAAACACCTCGAACCTTTAAGCCCGGAAGCCTGAACCACCCTGGACCCGTTCGTTTCTTGCAGCATGTCCTTAAACCCTGAACCCTAAACCACTAAACCCTAAACCCTAAATCCCTTAGCCCCTAAACCCTAAACCCCTAAACCCCAAAGCTCCTAAGCCCCCAAGCCCTAAACCACAACCCTAAACCCTAAACCCCTAATCCCCTAAACCCGAAACCCTCATCCGTAAACCCTAATGCACCACAAGATCTTCAGCTTGACGGACTCACGAACTGAAGGCTCCGATGCCCTACCTGGGTAGTTCTCTAAATTAGGGTCCCTTTTTTAGGTCCCCACTATAGTACGGCACCCTCTCTATAGGGGACCCTAAACCCTAAACCCTGAACCCTAAACCCTAAACCCTAAACCCTAAACCCTAAACCTTATAGAAAGGACCCTAAAGGGGACCCTCATTTAGAGAACCACCCACATACTGAATCGCGATGACGTGAGTACTGGGGCTTCCTTGTGTCCTAAGCGATTTTTAGCGGGGGGCGTTCAGGGTTTAGGGTTTAGGGTTTAGGGTTTAGGGTTTAGGGTTTAGGGTAAGGGGGAGGGCAGGGGGAATAGGGGCGGTACGGGGCCTTTATAGCCCTAATAAGGATCTAAAAAGGGTCTAACCAGGCCCCCCCCCCTCCCTCCCCACCCCCATCCGCAGCAAGCCGCAGCAGAAGTCTTGCAGAATACCCAGAGGAAGCTGCTACGTACAAACTTTGAAGGGTCTTAAAGCCCTGTTTCAGACCTCCAGTCTAATCTTCATGAGGCAGGATTAAACGCCCAAAATCTAACCCCCGTTCATACGGTATGGCCAAAAAGGGAAAAGGAGCCCCGAAAAACACAGACCACAAACCCTGATGTAGGGCCTAAATAATTACCATCTATTTTGGGGGTTCCTTATTATACTTATAGTATAATGGGCCCTAAAACCTTATTCTAATTATTAAGGCCCCTATATTGAACCCTAAAGCGAAGGACCCTTGTCCAGTTCGAGTGTTGGCGCCACAGGCTTCAGCAGCTGCACAGACATCAGGAGGCCTTGCATGGGGGCTTCGGGCTTCGGGTTAGGGTTTGGGGTCTGGGGTTTGGAACCTAAACCCTAAACCCTAAACCCTAAACCCTGAACCCTAAACCCTGAACCCTTTAAGGGTTTAGGGCCTGGGATGGCTTGGGGCTTTGTGTTGGCTTTGGGTTTTGGGTTTGGGGTGTAGGCCTTCAGGGGAGGACCGGGGCAGCTTGCAGTGCTGATGGCTAAGGGTAGAAACACCGAACCCGATGTCTCTAACCGACATACGTCACTACTCGTAAGCCCTACATCCTAAACCCTAAACCCTAAACCCTAAACCCTAAACCCTTAAGCCGAAGACCCCAAAGCTCTGAGCTCTACATGGGGAGTGGGAGTTCGAATTAGGATCCCTTTTCGGGTCCTTTTGATAAGAGTGCCGTACTATATTGGGGACCTAAAAAGGGACCCTAATTTAGACAAGTACTTACATTCTTTGACCATAAAGTCCCTACATCCTCAAACCCTGCCAGTCACCAAAGCCTCAGCTCCTTACATGCTCAGGGGGCTTTGTAAGCAGGGCTGGAAGTAAGGCAGCCGGAGCCAAAATGACCCGTAACCCTAAACCCTAAACCCAAGTTTAGGGTACTTATAACTTATAACCATACGAACTAAGTCCCCTGACCCTCCAAGTAGGCCCCGAGGGCCGCAAATCCTGGAGCCCTAAACTCTAAACCCTAAACCCTTTCACCCTAAACCCTACAATTCCTATAAGCCCTATAAGCCCTAGAAGCCCTAATTCCCGAAAGCCCTGAACCTTAAAAACTAAACCCTATAAGCTTTGAGTCCTCACTATCACCCACACCATGTGGGTAGTTCTCTAAATTAGGGTCACTGCTTAGGTCCCGATTATAGTACGGCACCCTTATAAAAAAAGGATCCCTAAACCCTAATTTAGAGAACTACGCATGTGCTCGTTTCGCTGCCCAGCCTTCGGTTCAATGCGGGTTTTCTCCCGGGAGCGAGAGCTCCGCTGTTCCGTTGGTGGTCGAAGGTTCCGTGTTGTATTTGGGGGTTTAGGCTTTAGGGTTAAGGGTTTATGGGTTTAGGGTTTAGGGTGTTTTATGGGGTTTCTCCGAAAATAGGGGACCCTAATCTAGTACCCTAGATAATAGGATCCTTATCATAAGGACCCCCAAAAAAGGTACCCTAATTTTCGGACAGTCCCTCATGGGTCTTAGGGTTTTATGGGGTTTGTGTTTTCAGGTTGAGGGCAATCAGTGCGTAATCAGGGTTTTCGGATGTGGGGTTCTCGAGTTGAGGGTTTAGGGTTTAGGGTTTAGGGTCTACCACTATTTGTTCAGTCTGATTCTCATTTTTGTAGCTGCAATTGCTTGCGCTTTCCCTTGTCTGGTGCCATGGAGACGTCTGCCGTTCTGCGAAACTTTTTCCGGCCACGTCCCTGCCGCAGCCACGCGGAGGACGCTTTGGATACCCTGCTCTTTTTAGGGGTGCAGGGTTTGTTGTAATGATTATAGTACATTGGGCCCCAAGACCCTATTCTAATTATTAAACCCTTATTGTAGCCCTTATAGTAATGGGTCCCAAAACCCTATTCTAAGTATTAAGCCCTTATTGTAGCCCTTATAGAAGCCTTTAGGGAACCCTTTAAAGGAACTCCAAAACCCGGGTTCAGTCTTCAGGGCGCAGCGTGCAGAGTTTCAGGCAAGGGTCGTGCGAGGCAGGACTTCGTGTTCAGGGTGCAGGTCTTGGGGGTTTCCTTACTATTAATTATCATTCTGGGCTAATTAATGATTTAATTATTAAGGCCCCTATATTAGGGCTTTAGGGCTTTGGAGTTTAGAATTTTGGGTTTAGGGCTTTCGGGGTTTAGAGGACTACCTCACTTCGAGCGGAAGCCTCTGAATGTCGAAGATCTAGCTGTGTTTGACACTCGCTGCATTAACAAAACACCATATTAGGGTTTAGGGTTTAGGGTTTAGGTTTAGGGTTAGGGGTTTAGGGGTTTAGGGGTTTAGGGGTTTAGGGTTTAGGGTTTAGGGTTTATATTACCTTGTATAAAAACTGAAAACCCTCAACCGTCAACCCTGAAGACGGTAAAGACCCCTAAACCCTAAACCCTAAACCCTAAACCCATAAACCCTAAACCCTAAACCGCCAGGTGGAGCCCACGCTCCCGGCGAGGCCTCCTGCAAGGGCGCACTCAAAGCCTCGGCGCGAGCTCGTCTGGCGGAAGAAGGCGCAGACCCGAAGCTTTCAGCCATGGTGGTTGTCAAGATTATGGTCCCTTTTTGGGTCCTTATTATAAT